ATGGCCGTTTCTGATTCGTGTAACATGAGAACGAGGCATTTTCCTTTAGAAAGTCCTCTACGAAGGCAAAATAAAAGTAAATTTAAGAATTATTTATGTAAGAACAACAAATGTATTTTTTGCATTTAAGAAGTCCTTCCCTACTCTTTGCATCTCAGCAACTGGAGCAGTCAAATAGACCTCTATAATATCATTTGTATTTTTCTGGACAAAGAAACAAGCAAAATTATAGTGTAATTGTAAAATTTTAGGATTAAATTCTATATTCGAAAATAATTGCAGAGTTTTTATTTATTTCTCTACATGTCGTTTTGAGATATTCTTGTCGTATTTACTTGTATATCAATGAATGCCGGTAAATTCAAAAACCGCCCCTGTGACAAACTCAAGGACCACCCTGGGCAGCAAAAGTTCTAACTACGCCATTGAAAAAATGCATATGTGCATTTAATTAATTTCCTAATATTTATTTTTAATTTTTAACCGCTTTCCTTTATTTTCTTGTTTCTCGCCTACAATTCCCTACCAGAATGAGTTGCAGAATAATTAGTAGAGCATGTTCTGCCTTCTGGCCACATCGTTGCTTTAAGCCAAATCTTGCGAAGTTACTGCTTTTTAGTATTCGCCGGTGAGGTTTAATTAAGGGCCAACTCGGTTAAGTATTTCTGTACAGCTTTGGTTAGTTTTTAATTAGTTAGCATTAGATTGAATTCGTATTTTCTATCTTCAGTTAAAGCCAAGTGAAGGCTTTCTGTACCGAGAGGGGCCAATTGTAAATATTCCGAGTTAAATAAAAGGGTCATTTAACGCTTCTTTGGACTTGTTCTTGCAGCTTTAAGAAGTAAGTGAGTAGTCGGTACGTATTTCTCAAGTATTCTAGTTTCCAAAAGTAACTAATTTAACTAGAATCTTATAGACTGTTTAAATTCAAAAAAAAAAAAAATAAAATAAAATAAAAAAAAAAAAAAAAAAAAATAAATAAATTATAAATCTAGCGTTTACCGAAACAACACTTTGAGAAGTGCTTATGTCTGTTCCAGTGTGAGCGGATGGTGTATCCATCCACTATTGCCAATGTGCAATACACTTGCCAAGTGTGACTGGATGGTGTATCCATCCACTCTTGCCAATGTGACTGGGTGGTGTATCCATGATAGCATACTGTAGCGGTCCAAACATTTTGGGCACACTCAGTTAACGCTTTGAACGGAAAAAGGGGGGATGTTGAATCCGCAGAAGCTTTTATCATAATGTGCTGATTTTTTCGTCTGAAAATTTCAAACATACACATGGTCAATTAACATTAAGTATGAAAATGCTTGCAGTTTATGCAGTGGTCTGCTGCTGCTGATTATGTCCTGAGGTCGAGTTCGGCCGGCAGTTATAAGTGCTTACAAATTAAAAAAATATCTACCAGTTATTTTACTGAAATTGAATTCTAAAATAACGCTGTATATTTTAATTTTTGTTTGTGATGGAGAAGAGATAAACAAGTCTCTTGCCTTTTGGGTGGTAATCAAAAATTCTGTTTTGGGGCATTGACAATGTGACTATATGGTATCCCTAGAAGAAATACTTTGCAGTGTGAGGAAAAATTCGGTTTTGAAAATTTCATTAAACCTATCGCGTAGCACATTTCGTTGAGAATTCACAATCTCAAAAGCACCGCGTTGGTTGCTTAAGTTATGGACTTTTTTTTTTTCCTTTTGGAAATATGAAAGGAATTGAAGAAGGAATTTCTCTGCCGGATATATCCCAGGGCTGACACTAAAGTTATTAAATTCGCTCTGAGCAGAATTTTTTCTATATAAAATAGCTATTCTACCCGAAGCCCAAGATTTTTTTTTCATTTGTTATTTTCATATTCTCCCCATCTTTTCATAAAGCTTTTCGCAACTCGAGGATAGTAGAAAATGGGGTTCATGACATTGTGTAAAAAAGAGATAGAGAAGTAAGAGAAGAGTCGTATATGTAAAAGCATTCCTGGTGGTTATTCTTTTCATTTTTTAAAGTTTTCCCCCTATAAAAAAACTTAATCAAAACATAACACCAAAGGTGACATCGGAAATTAGTCTGTCAAGAACCTAGATTCGTAAATTTGAGTTCCGGCTTCGATTTGCGAAGGTGACTGACAGTTTTCAGCTAGAATATTTTGTTATTTTCTTTTTCCTAAATTTATTTGGCATTGTTTTAATTTAAACACGCAGAATTTTTGTTTTTTTACTTTTGGGGGGGGCAAAAGGAAAATTTTCTTTTAAAGGGTTCCTAACATTTTTTCAGGCCTTTTCAGTTTAATTGCGATGCAAACAGAATTTATTTTTCAGTCTGCAGATGCTTCGAGTTAAATACCTTTGAAGGTTGTATTTTAGAAGTCATATCTGTGGTGAACTTACTGCTTTCAGTTTTTTGGTTTAGCTAAAGTTCTGATAGCATCTCCTTATTCTAAATAATTTTAAAAAGCGTCTGTTTTTATACTATACCGAAATGATTCATTTTCTTTTGCGGTATTTAAAAAAATTGAGTGAAACTTTATTTTACGTTCTTATGATAATTATAGAACGAATTTTCGGAAAAGTAAAGGACAATTTAATTAAAACTGCCAAAGAATTGCTTACTAAGGTGTTTGATTCTCATATAAAAGAATTGTGATGTGGAATTAGTCAGTTAAGTTATGCGTTTCTGTAGGTTGCACTTTGTCAGAAGTAAAGGACAATAGTTACCGAATTCCTTCGCGTATCCTCCCTTGTATATTTTTACTATTGTTATCATTCGAAAATCGAGAGGGGAAATTATACGAATAATTTTATTTCCGAAAGACGCGGTTACAGTAACAACATAACAATTCCTTAAACGAAAGCTGCATTCCAGTGAGAATACATAGTAATGCTGAAATTTCAATATCTAATATCTTTATTTCTTCTTCCTTGTAACTTATTTTTGTCGGAACTACTCCTAAGGCCTCAAATGATCCATAAATAATTAGAGAATGGGAATGTGCAGCCAAAATTTAGTAAACATAAATTATTCTGATTTAATATTCTTTCGGGAATTTTAAAAATGTACTGCTGTTAAAAAATTTATCGTTTGATTTTTGGATTTTATGTGGTGTAAGTGTAAAGAAAGCGATGTTTAAAAAAAAAAAAAAACTGTGTTAGCAGGAGTGATCCCAAGAACAAACTAATAAACAGCGAGACAGCGAAAGTTAAAAAAAACCTTACCAAACCCTCCGCTTAAAATTTTCAGATTTTGTTTATTGGGTTGGCCCATTAAGATCTGTCCTTTTAGTCCAAAGGGACAATTTGCCGAGAAAGATTATTAATTTCGTTTTAGCATTTTGCTTTGATTGACGTTTCAAATTGTTGCCACCAAATATTATCGCTCTGTATTATATTTAAATAAATTAAATAATTAAGAATCTGCATCAATGTATTTATGTTTCTCGCATTGTGATAAAACAACGGTACCTAGAGCCACGCCATTTTGATTAACGTAATCCTTCTGCGAATATGGGCATTTGGAAGCGCAAATTTGAAATTTGGAATTTGTTTTATTATCGATTTCATATTTTGTAAATTTAATTAAATAACCTAATTTTTGAATAACAAACTCAAACATTTTAAAGTAAGCATTGGCAAATTTTGAAGGGGGAAAAAATTATATCCAGCGCGCGAGACTGTGTATCGGAAATTCTAAAGATATGCTCATTTTAAAATTATTTTGTGATATTGCTGTTGAACTGAATTTTATGGTAGGTAACACACAAAATGTTAAAAAAAAAAAAAAACCGCCTCTTTGGACGTAATTTAAACTCTGACACCTTTCAGATTTTTTTAATAGACTAGCGGGCAAGCCCGCCAGCTGAGCGGGCTGAAGCCCGCTTATCATTGTTTTGTTTTGTTTTTTTTAAATATCCTATGTTATATTTGGCCGGTATTGAAAAGTTGAACCGAACTACCATTTTTTAGCGGCATTCCGCGGGCTTCCCCCGCTTTTTTCACCTATGCATCCAGAAGTTACCGCATACACGATACACATGCGGAGAATCACGAAAACACCCGTGCTGCTAGCTCTTTTGCGGGTATTCAAAAGTTGGACCGAAATACCAGTGTTCAGCAGATTTTCACTAAAACAAACAAGAAATGAACAACAAATCAATCAATAATGTATTCTGTGTTGGTCTTTACAACTGCTTCCCAACGTCGACGGTAGAAAATACCGTCCTTGAATCGCCATCTTTGAACAGCTAAAACCAATTTGGAGTCGTCCTAAGAGGCATCGCTTATTCGTCATACACTTCGCAAATCTCTCGAGCAACTTCTATGGCTTTGTCATCTTGATTAAACGCAAAAAGCAGAAATGTTTCGAAAATGCTCTTTCTTGTCGTTTTGTGTTTTTATTTTAATGGCATAAAAAGAACAAAAAGTAGATAAGAATAAAAAAAACTAAACGCATTGTTTTGTAGATTATATAATTCTGTATCGAATAACATAAAATGCATTGCCAAAACATTTTACTTTTCATACAAAATTTTCATTTAAAAAAGAACGCCACGACTTATTGGCCAACCCAATATTTATTGCTAAAGAACGCAAAAATTTGAAATAAAATAAACAAACAATGAATTCTAAATTGATATAATTTGTTTCATTCTTTCTGAATGATTTGAAAGTAATTCCGCGCGAAAAAATTACTTAATTCCAAAGAAATTCATTCGTGTTATTCTTTCGAGGAGTGTTATATTGTTTCTGGGAAAGGGGGGGCTGTAGAGATTTTTTTATTTTCGTTTCTGTAGGTCTTTTAAATAATAGACCAATACTATAAATATTAGCAAAAGTATATACCGAAAAAAAAAAAAAACTTTATTTCTTTATTTTATTCTGTTTTATTTTATTTTTGTTTTATTGATTTATAGTTTAGTTTCTATTTTATTTACACACCGCTGCGTAGGCTGTCTCATTGACATGATCTGTGATTTGTTTTATCTCTTTTGCCTTTAGGAAGTCCACGCCTGTCTTCCAGATCTGGTATGCAAACCTTATATGATTATATCTAAAAATGATTTTACTGCTAAAAAACATAATTCTGTAAACGAATCCTGTGCTTTTGTTTTCTTTATTTGTATAAAGCTCTGTTTAGCATAACAACTCTAAATGAGAAATAGAAAACTAATTGAACAGTACTTTTATTCCTTGAGTTAATTTTTTTTGTTTTGTTTTTTTATGGAAATTATTTTAAGGCATTTGAATATTTTTAAATGCAAATGCTGTGGTTAATATGATGAAATATTTAAATGTGATATCTTTATTAGTATAATTATGTTTTGCTGTTAAGAATAATTGCTAATTTCATGGAGGAAATAGCTTTGGAAATGTAGTATAAATTATTTTAAGATTACACTTTTTAATTCTGTTATCTCTCGTCTCAAGGAAAAAAGGAAGGAGGAAAAAAGGGCTTGAATAATATGTTTCATGACTAACCCTCATTAAGAACCTAAATCTTAATGTATTCTGATCTCTTAGTTTCCGACCATCTTTAATACACTCCATTAAAAGACCTATCATGCCTGTTTTAGTTATTCAAGAACTCAACGGCAAAAATACTTTGAAGTTTTTTTTTTTTTTTTTTTTCTAAATTTTATTTTTAGGCATTTGTTAAAGAGAAATATCAAAATTAACTGTCAGAAATTTAGACGCTTTAAATTAACTTTAATAATTGCTTAAGCTGTAAAATAAAATAATATATAATATTCGAAAGGATGTGTTATTAGAATCACATGAAAACTGATACGCGCTAGTTTGATATGCTACAGATAGTTCTGCAATAAGGATGAAATTTTGAAAAGAATAATCTTTTAAGAATTCTTTCTTTGAATAATCTTACGGATATGCTTTGATTTCAGAATTTATAATATTTTAATTAATTTTTTTTAATAATTGGTAATAATTTCTTAAAATATGAATTTATAAATAACGATTTTAAACGAATTAACTCTTAATTTTTTATATAAATGTGGTTTTATTTAATCCGATATATATATGAAGTATTTGAATTATGATTTGTTGGTATTCATTCGATCTTCTAATCAAATAATATGATATTATAAAGGATTATAAGTATGATTTTATATGATAGTACAGTATTGAATTTTAATTCTAAAATTCCAGGTTTAGCTGTATAAACGTTATGATGTGTTGGTATTCATTCGATCTTCTAATTGAAGAGTGTGATGTTAGAAAAGAGTTATAAGTATGTTTTAATATGATAGTGCAGTAATGAACTTTAAATCCCAGGCTTAGCTGTGTTAACATTATGATTTGTTGGTATTCATTCAAACTGAATAGTGTTTAGCTTAGCTGTAGATTCAAACATTCCAGGCTTAGCTGTATTATGATTTGTTGGTATTCGTTCAATTTTCTAATTGAATAGTGTGATTTTAAAAAAGTACTATTGAGTAGGATTTAATATGATAGTACAGCATTGAATTTTAATTCGAAATTTTCAGGTTTATCTGTAGATTCGAAAATTTCAGGCGTAGCTGTTTTGGCGTTATGATTTGTTGGTATTAATTCGATCTTCTGAATAGAATTATTTAATGGTGTGATGTTAAAAAAGGATTTTACGTATGATTTAATATGATATTACATTATTGAATTTTGATTTGAATATTCTAGGCTTAGTTGTAGGTGGTGCTGATATGAAAATACGGTACTTTCATAGTATCACGTCGCCCAAAAAGCAGTGCTGTAGCTAGAGTTTTTGCCGCCCCATGCTGTCTCTGAATTTGCCGCCTCTCTTGATATAAAAATAAATAACAAAAAAAAAAAAAAAAGTTATAATGGCGTATAGGAAAATTAATGTTAACTCTAGGATTTATTTCTGAAGAAAAATTTTAATTCCAATATTTTAAAGTTGATTTATTATTTTGCTTGTTTTTTTGTTTACAAAACCATCGATGACATCGTAGAGATGTATTTTATTGCTCCAGTTGCTGTTATGTAGGTTGTATAGAAAGATTTCTTAAACGCAAAACATTTATATTTCTTAAATACTTCTTAAATGATTTTTCTTTCGAAGACTGATCTCATACTTATAGCAATTGTGAGAAGAGTTCGTGATAGTATTATAGCATTCGGAACTTTATTCAGAATATAGTATTTTAAAATAAACTGCCAAAATTAAAAAGAACCGCCCTTCTATGTTCCTCTTTTGTTTTCTCTAACAATAACGAATATAAAACTCTTAAAATACGTCTCTCTAAACGAGGAATTAGTCCTTATTAATGTCACCGTGATCATAATTCAGTGATATTTTTTAATATTCATTCAAAAGTTCCGATGGAATTAAAAAATGTGTAACAAATGTATTTTATTGTTGAACTCTCGTGGATATTTCTTTGCATACGGTATTAATTCAGAATTACTTTTTTATCTAATTAATTCCGTATGACAGTCAGAATCTTATTATTATTTACGGACCTCGACGATTCACATGACTAACAGACCTAAAATAATATTTTACTGAAAAAATGGCTCCCTTAAGTGTGTGCCGCCTGGGGCCTTCCTCTAGTTACGCCTGAAACCAAGACGCAGATCTTGGCGAGTTTGTGTCAATCATTGTATCATTTTGGACAAAAGTCTTTATGGTATCTATGAAAATGAGGGCAAATGAGTCCTCTGCTTTGTGAAGTTCAGTCTGTATAAGTTCGATTAAATTAGAATGCCGATGTTGTCATGCTGTCTCACGGTATCTTTTATTTCGCTGAACCCCTCAGTCTTTCGATAGACTGAACATGGGTACAGATTACGTATCAACAAAGTTATATATCTATGACTGATTTTATACTGTTCCAGTTCTGAAGCTCTTAACTCTTCAGTTTTAGAGGCCTTCCAAGAAACCAAAACAAATTTGTGCTTCTCTCTTCGGTATTTTCCTTGACGGCTTTTACAAACGTACTGGCTGGTGTACATGGAACTTTTGCAATGAAAAATTCATTTTTTCTTCCTGGCATAACTCACCAAACAGCCATTGCCTCATATTGTAAAAAGAACTCTCGTGGAGTTTCAACAATATATTAAACCCTTCGATTGTTGTCGATGGTCTGGATCATGTGAAGTTATGTGTAGGAATTTTTCATAGGTAGAGTTGCTCCAGTCAATGTTAATTCTCTTTGCCTCAATTATGAATCCCTCCAGCGCCATCCATCTTAATGTATGGGGTTTCTGGGTCCTTGCCCAAGGCCCCTATGAACATAGGTACCCCATGCTAATTCATTTACATTTAATTCCTGTGAGTGGTTGTCGTAGGAGGCCTCAGCACACTGGTTTTCCCAGTGACCCATAATGCCGTTAAGACGCATTGTCTCCAGCTACATTTTTTCTGAATGTATATTTCTGGCTTCTTTATGTTGCATCACGATTGTTTGCTCGAATAAAGTATTAGATAAATAAATATATGCTCAAATTAAAATATGCCATGTGCCCAATAGCGCAGAATAGGCACATGACAGCATTTGGGGGGTGGAGGAATTGTATGATTCCATGGTTTTGAAAATGTTGTATTGCCTGTCATCCATAAAGAGTAGGTCCCTAATTTCAGTCATTTGTCACACGACTGAAAAAGAGAAAGAGAGAGTACGTAAAATAAAAGGTGAGGGAAGGGAAAGATTACTTTTGCGTTACCTATATCTAGAAACTTCTGCGGAAATTACGCAGTACATTGTTTGGCGTAAACAACCGAAGTATGCGCTGTCATTTTTAATGACTTGCTAATGCGGAATTATCGAAAATGCTAACCAAGAAAAAAGACTAACAGTTTGCTAAGCATTCTTAAAGAGCTCTCTTAAACTGAAGATTGAAACTAATGGTTAAATAAAAAAATAAAAACTGAAATCGTCGAAATCGACTGATGATATTGTAAATTATAAATATGCAAAAATTACTTAGATGGAAAAATTAAGTTACATTTACATTTAATAAATGTGTGAATTGTTAAAAAATAATAAAACTATGTACCAGTTCATAGTAATTTAAAAAATAATGCCTTTATTAAAAGTGTTATCTACATTAACGAGAGTAATCGGAATATTATCTTTGTCCCTTGCTTTCCATGCGTTAAGGTAATGAACTTTACATGTGCAGTTTAGACGCTTTTAACAGCTTTTATTTCGTATAATTTTATCTTTACTGCATACATTCTGACATCGTACATGTTCGTAGATAAAAATGTGTGTATATGCGTATGAGTTTGGTGTGGCAACGAAATAATGTGTATAATGAATGAATATATTGTTTACATAAATATGAAAATGGAAAAATAACATTTTATTCCTAAATACTTTTTGCAAACTTTATTTCTTACAGAATATAATCATAGTATAAATAATATTTTCACACCTTTATTTAAATATGTACTTTAAAACAGTATTTGCTTCGAATAGACTCTTTAACTACTAAAATTTAATATTTAACTTCACAGCCAACAATTTCTTAGCTAATCTTCGTATATTCAAATCAATGTTAACTTTGAAAGCAAACAAATGGGAATATGAAATAAATCTTTCTTCGTGGTAGGTCAATTTTGGCGTTAGATTTTAATATGAGTGTATTTACTCAAATTATGTTATGAAATGAGGAGTCACGCAGAATTTTTTCTTTTCGGTCAATTACATTTTTTAAATTTTTCTCTATATAGTCATTCATCTAATATCATGCGTAGAAGAGAAAACGTGCATTCTCCCCTCCCCCCCCATTAAAGCATTTGATAAAATATAAAATACCAGTTTGTTACTATTGTAAATTTCCTTTTTCGGGCCAGGCAAATCGGTTCTGAATTGCCTTCTGCTGTGTATCTGCATTAACTTGTGCCTCATGGTGAATTGCGAAACGCTTAAAGAAAGAAGCGGTCTGCAGAAGTAGAGGCAGAATGGTCAGAAATGGATTGGTAGTGGCTGTGTCTTGATCTTGGTGAAGGTCTTCAGAATGGCTTTTCGTAAGTGCCTGCGTTCTTAACTCGGCAAAGAAAAATA